GGAGAGGGGCTGGCAGTCCCCCGCTGGCACTGGGGCAGGCAGGGCTCTGGTGGGAGGGAGGGCAGACACAGCCCCTCCTGGGCTGCGGCATGGAGGGCTCCTGCTGGGAGGAGGAGGTGCAGAGGTTCCCCCATTGCTGCTGGGCAGTAAATTGTGACTGGCGTCAGGATCACGCTGGGTGAACCCAGGACCCGGCTCCAATAGGCCCCTCTGCTGTTCTCGGGCTCCATAGGGCGGCCCTGCACCTGGCCCCTCCTGCGGGGCTAGGACCCATGGGCCCCCGTGCCCTGACCTAGAGCCTCACCCCACATCCATCACGGGAACCTGGGGAAGGGCATCCCTCACGAGGCCTGCGAATTCCTCGCGGGCTCCTTGCAACTGGCAGAGCAGGCGGCCGAGATACTCACGGTGCCAGGCACAGAGCTGGGGACAGAGTCAGAACCAGGCCAGCGGGGCCGGACCCTGCTTTGCCTCAGGTAGGCTCTACCCACGAGCCTGCAAGTCCTCCCCGCTCAGAGAGCCTCTTTCCCGTCCGTCCGTCTGTGCGACTCTGTCACACACGCTCCATCCATCCGTCCAACTCTGCTCCTCGTTCCTGTCGCTGCCCCACACCTGCACGCCAGCCCAGCTGTGCCCTGGCACCTCCTCCCCGCACACGCACCTTGCTCCGCTGCCTTCGCCGTCCCCACGTCCGTCACCCTGCTCCCACTGCCTCTGCCTGCACAGCTCCAGGGTGTCAACATGCAGGGACCAAATGTTACAAATGCCTGCAGCTGCTGTCCCCAAAAATACCCTCCGATGACACGCGGGGCTGATAACGCGCGGCTATCTATAGCGCCCCAGCAGGAGTGCAGCCCTCAGCCCCAGCCAGGCCCTGCCCTGCCGCTCTCCTCGGGCACACAGCTCAGCACCGCACAGCACAGACCCTGCGCAGGACCCTTGGGTGTCAGCACAGCCTCCAGTGACCCCAAGCTGCACACCCTAGACAGGGTGCGCAGTGACCAGAGGCCAGCAGCTCCCCGCTAGCAAGCAGCCAGGAAGCCGGGAATGGGGTACAGCGGACGCTAGCCCACAGCTGGGGGCTGAATGCTGCGTGAAGGCGGGGGATGGGGAGGCAGGGGACAATGGAATGCAGCAGGGGTGGGATGGAGCACAGGGGATGATGGCTTGCAGCAGGGACGTGGGGCCCGGGAGACACCAGGCTGCAGCGGGGGTGGGATCGGGGGCAGGGATGTGGGGGGCAGGGATGTGGGGTGCGGGAGACACCAGGCTGCAGTGGGGGCAGAGAGATGTGGGGGGCAGGGGCGTGGGAGACGTCAGCCTGCAGCTGGGGTGGGATGGGGCACAGAGACGTGGGGTGCAGGTATTGGGGTGCGGGAGATGCCAGGCTGCAGGAGGGGGTGGGATGGGGCGCAGGGACGTGGGGCACAGGGATGTGGGGCATGGGAGATGCCAGACTGCACTGGGGGTGGGATGGGGTGCAGGGATGTGGGGGGCAGGGGCGCAGGAGATGCCAGGCTGCAGCGGGGGTGGGATGGGGCGCAGGGACGTGGGGCACAGGGATGTGGGGCACGGGAGATGCCAGACTGCAGTGGGGGTGGGATGGGGTGCAGGGATGTGGGGGGCAGGGGCGCAGGAGACGCCAGGCTGCAGCAGGGGTGGGATGGGGCTCAGGGATGTGGGGGGCAGGGGCGCAGGAGATGCCAGGCTGCAGCAGGGGTGGGATGGGGCTCAGGGATGTGGGGGGCAGGGGCGCAGGAGATGCCAGGCTGCAGCGCGGGTGGGATGGGGTGCAGGGATGTGGGGGGCAAGGACGTGGGGTGCGGGAGACACCAGGCTGCAGCAACTGAAGGCAGAATGTGCAGGAAGGAAGCAGAGGCCTTTCCAATATCAAGTGAAGCCGCAGGAACAGCATCGCACCCCCAGACCCAGTCCAGCCTCTTGGCTTCCTCCCACCTCAGGGTGTCCCAGCCCAGCCGCCCCCTGCACCCCCCACCCCGTCACACCCTGGCCTGGCCTTCCCGGGTCTCCTCCCCCTTCAGGATATCGCACCCTAGCCCACCCCCCACATCCTGGTTTTACCTTCCTGGGCCTCATGGCCCAGCTCGGCCCAGCCCAGCCCCCCCTTGCTCCTCCTAGTTAGAGTGACCAGATGTCCCGTTTTTGTAGGGACAGTCCCTGTTTTTGGGACTTTCTCTTATATAGGCGTCTATCACCACCACCCCACCCCCGTCCCGTTTTTTCACAGTTGCTATCTGGTCACCCTACTCCTAGTCCCAGCCCAGCTTCATGGCCTCCTCCCCAGCTCAGGGGGGCCCTGCCCAGCCTCCCCAGCCCCCAGTCCCAGCCCCGGCCTGGCGTTCCCAGGTCCCCTCCCCAGCTCAGCAGGCCCGGCCCAACCTCCTGGTGCTGGGGCCTGTCAGGGAGGTTGGGCCTGGCCAGGCCTGGGAGGATCCTGGCTCTCACCCAGGCAGCAGCCGAACTGGTGCCGAAGGGGCTTGGCTACAACCCCGCTCAGGCGCCCGCAGTGCCATGTCCTGGCCGTGCACACGGGCTCCTGCTGGAATTTCCTGGGCCAGGGGCTGGCGCTGCCTCGGCAGCTGTTTCCACGCTGGACCCATCGGCTCCTCAGCGCCAGGCCTGGCTCCCTGGAGCCTCTCTGACAGTCCCAGCCTCCCAGGCCAAACGGGACGATGCGCTCGGCTGGGCTGGCCCCAGGCATCGCACAGGCCACAGACCGTCCCTGAATTCATTCCCGTTTGCCCTACAGCGGGGGCCGGGCCGGAGCCGCGCCGCGGGGGCCGGGCCGGAGCCAACCCGAGCCGCAGGGGCCGGGCTGGAGCCAAGCCGGGCCAGAGCCGCTGGGGCCTGCGTGCTCGGCGGGAACGGGCCGCGCCTCCCTGGAGCCCTTCTCGCACCCCAACCACCCCAGCTTACCTGGTGCTGCCTGCCCGCCCCTGCTCCTTTTCAGACTTCCCGCGAATCTCTGATTCGCGGGAAGCAGGGGAAGGGGCGGAGCGTTCAGGGGAGGGGAGGAGGGGGAAGTGAACTGAGGGCGGGGTGGAGAGCTGCAGCGCGGGGCCCTCGCAGCGCGGGGCCCAATTCAGCCGAATCGGCCTAAAGCCGGCCCTGTGGGCCATAATTTGTCAGCTGCACTGATGCGATGGCCGCTCCTGCCACGCCCCAGCCAGGGTTACACCTGGGAGCCAGAAAACAAGCCACTGGCCAGAGAACCGATTAATTATCATAGGAAGCCAGGCAAGGCCCTGCCCCCAGGGCTGACGGGAAAGGCTTCCGCCGCGACACAAGGGTGGGTAAGAAAGGGTGGGGCCGGGGCAGGCTCTGGCATTGGTCCTGTAAACGGTACAGGGTTAGGGTTGCCAGGTCTCCGATGTTTGACCAGAACACCCAGTTGAAAAGGGACCCTGGTGATTCAGTCAGCAAAAGTCTGGTCGGCAGCGCAGTGGGGCTAAGGCAGGCTCCCTGCCTGCCGTGGCTTCACGCGGCTCCTGGAAGCAGTGGCATGTCTCCCCCCTGGCTCCTAGGCACAGGGCCAGCCAGGGGGCTCCACACCAGGGCCGGCTCCAGCATTTTTGCCGCCCCAAGCGGCAAAAAACTAATAAATAAAAAATAAACCCCCCCCGCGATCGGCGGCAGTTCTACCGCCGCCGCTTCGTTCCTCGGCGGCAATTCGGCGGCAGGTCCTTCCCTGGGACTAAGGGGCCCGTTGCCGAATTGCTGCCGAAGAGCCGGACATGCCGCTCCTTTAGGTTGGCCGCCCCAAGCACCTGCTTGCTGCGCTGGTGCCTGGAGCCGGCCCTGCTCCACACGCTGCTCCGCCCCAAGCACCACTCCCATTGGCTGGGAACCACGGCCAATGGGAGCTGCAGGGGCAGCACCTGCGGATGGGGCAGCGCACAGGGCCGCCTGGCTGTGCCTCCGCGTAGGACCCGGAGGGGGGACATCCCGCTGCTTCTGGGAGCTGCCTCAGGTAAGCACCAACCGGAGCACCCCTGACCCCTCCCGCGCCCCAATCTCCTGCCCCAGCCCAGATCCCCCTCCTGCCCTCTGAACCCCTCAATCCCAGCATGGAGCCCCCTCCTGCACCCCAAATCCCTCAGCCCTGGTCCCACACCAGCACCCGCACCCCCAGCCAGAGCCCACACCATCCCTGCACCCCAATCACCTGCCCCAGCCTGGAGCCCCTGCCCACACCCTGAACCCCTCATTTCTAGCCCCACCCCAGAACCCACACCCCCAGCCCAGAGCCCATACCCCCTCTCACACCCCAACCCCCTGCCTCAGCCCGGAGCCCCCTCCCATACTCCAAACCCCTCAGCTCCACCCTCCAGCACAGAGCCCCCTCCTGCACCCCAAACCCCTTGTCACGGAGTCTGGAACTGCTCCACACAAAGCCAGTCAGGACTTTGGGGAGCCTCCTCTCCCTCGGAGCAGACTGTCTTCAGGGCAAGAAGCTCACACGGCTTCACCTCCTGGGTCTGACCTTGGAGCATTCAGCATATGCCCCTCCGTGCGCTTCCCACAGCGAGTCCGCCCAGGCGGGGTCCTGGGAAAGCCAGAGGGTCCTGCACCCCCACTTCGCAGTCAGACGTGACTCTCAGCCAGCCAGTAAAACAGAGGTTTATTAGATGACAGGAACTCGGTCTAAAACAGAGCTTGTAGATACAAAGAACAGGACCCCTCAGCCGGGTCCATCCAGTGGTCCCGCGAGCCCGACACCCCCATCTTCTGCCCTCACTCCTAGTCCCCAGCCAGCTCCAAACTGAAACCCCCTCCAGCCCCTCCTCCTCTGGGCTTTGTCCCTTTCCCGGGCCAGGAGGTCACCTGACCTCTTT